GCACACACACACACAAAGCAAACAGCATAATTGGGTTTCTAATCAGGGCTGCCCAAGAGCAATACAGTGGGGGAGGGTCTTGTGGGCACTGTCTCAACTGCATTGGTCAGAACAGATCAGCTCAACAATAGACTGAATGAGCAAGAAAATTACAAGGGATGGAAATAATTAAAAATGAACGTGGAAACAGACAAAGTGGTTCTAAGAAGTAAATACATCCCCTGCAGCAAACACACATGCAAAATTAGCCTTTCTTTAAATGTTAATGCACTGTTAGAATTTTGTTGTTGTCACAAGTAGTGTGCTGTATGTACTGTATATATTGTTCTATTGTTCTATCCCAGAAAATAACTAGAAAGGAGCATGTATTGAATATGTACTTATAGAAAACACTGGCCAACAGACTGTGATTACTGTCACCTCATTAGGCACCTGCTAGCACTCAGCAAGAATAAAAAATTCTTGCCTTATCTTAATTTATGCTGTAATCCAAACAGAAAAGGGCAACAAAATTTGAATGAAGGTGGATGAAGTAATGAGGGCATCTATAAACTCCATCAGTTCAAATGCAGCTGTACACAGCGGCCTGGAGCCAATTTCACACAGATACTAGCTTACAGCTAGCTAACAGTCCGATTTCAGATAGGTGTCTATCTGAAAACTTGTGACAATGGTTTGCTTAACAGTCTCACACAAATAGTTTGCTATGAATTCTGTGTAGATTAAAACTTTTCAGACTAGGTTTTGGTTAGCCACCACTTTGTCACGGTGGTTAATCAAACCAATGTGACAAACTGCTTAAATCCTCCTACTCCAGCAAAACTGTTTACCCTCTGGAAAACTTAACAGATGGATTTTTTTACTGTGAAATTTCAGCAAAGACTAAAAATAAAGAAAAGCTAGTCATAATAAAATCTCAGCACAGTACACAACTGCAGCAGAGCTGTGATGCTGTACATTCTTCAGGCGGCAGAGCTCAGTGCCCATGCTAAGCTGTCGGGCAGAATTAGATTATTTTGCAAATAAATACATCCACATTTTTCCTACAGGCTACTCCCTAAAAAAGTCCCTACCTTTATTTGCTCCACAACATTAATAGTAAACAACAAATTGTCATATTTTGCTCCAATCTGACGTCATTCATCAGCTGATCTTACTGATTGTTACCATTGAAACATGGCTCCTAGTTCAGAGTCAGCCTGGGTTAGGATGGCTTTTTATTTTTGCAAAACTGCACAGCTTCCATTACACAAAGAGCCAATTTAAGACTGGCCTAACACTGCAAACCGGTCTAAAGCTTCTTACTGAAACCAGCAGCAGAAGAAAAACCTTCTCATTCACAGTACATCCCACTAATTCACAGTTATTTTTGCTGTTATTTCTTCTGCTTGCACAGATGATGTCAGTGGCTCCGTTCCAGTTTAAAATGATCTCAGTGAGAATGACAGGCCGTGTCTGGATCAGAATCATTCACCACCACACACACTATCAACACTAGAACCAAGACTAAACACTCCAGCTTGGTCAGCTCAGTCATCAGGCTCAATTAATATTCATAATGGGCTCAATAATCATAATGTTTGTCCCTACCATACAGGGATAAACAATACATACCTCTATACAACCAATTTGTAGCAGGTAACAGTGAAGTTCTGGGAAATTTAAGAACAAAACAATATGTCCTAGCAAAGACTTGCGTATGTATAGCAGACAAAATGAGGCACTCACAATCATCGTCTTTCTTCATTTTTATCTATCCAAGCCACTTCAGGGTTATCTCAGTTATCTCATTAGCTGGTACTGAACAGGCACCGACAACCAAGGTCAAACTGCACTGTGAGTGCAGTAGTGAGCTGCAAAGTCCTAGTAGAGGACTATGTCCGGTGTAGCACTGCTGCAAGGTTGATCTTCACTATCTCAAAGGGAAAAGAAGACTCAATGATCATGGTGCCATTTTGGGCAATCATTTTTGTTGATGCAATCCATAACAGCAAAGTAACACAAAAACGCCTGTCTTTGTATGACAAAGTTGGATGGACCCGCCAAAGCTATGTTTTAGGAGATGTGTGCTGTAAAAGAAAAGGATGTTACACAACCTTTTGTGGTGGAAAAGACTTTCCAGTTTCATTAACAGTTTCAGCCATCAACTGTAAAAATAATGGACAGGCTGACGTCTCCCAGAAGTGAAGCCCCCTGGTGGCTGGTTGCAGTACAGGTTGTAAATCCCACCTCCACCTCCTTAGTGGATGTGGCATGAATCAAACTACAAACTAAAAGTACAAATCAAATACAAATTTTCCCAGTGGTGATTTCTCTGTTTTTTTGTAGATATGATCATGCTGATGTGTGTACAAGTTGTCATTTTTCTGGTAAGGCTGTTTTTAATAAGTTATTTGTTGATTTTAAAAAAGAGAGGTGTATTTCAGACCATTTGGGTGGTCAGATGCTATCACTCCACTTCTGGTTGTGACTGTGTAGAATCTAGCTGCAAAAAAATCAAGATGGCAGCCACTGTATTCATGGTATTTTGGCTTCATTTTTGCATAGTGGATGGAAGTGGTGATGACAGTATATGCAATGGACATGGCAACGGTTTCAGCACAGCAGAGCTAGAAAAATTCCAACTTATCTTTGATCTCATCAAACCCAACAGCTGCAAGAGGATGTTAGTCCATGACTGTCATTCAGATTCCACTGAAAGGAATAATGTCTTGTCACAATAAAGCATGATCTTTTAAAACCCTTACTAAGCTTTATGGATTTAGTTTGGATGACTGGGACGTCTTCTGTGCCAACAACACAGTTGTCAAGACAGAAGCTAATACAGATGAAGACAGTGTTATCTCACTTTTCTCTTGTAGCAACCATCCACTGCATACAGTCGCTTTATACTAATAACAGTTATTACCCTTTCTCCATTTTCACCAACCAAGGTCTCAGCAAGACTGTGAGCTAATTCAATCTGTTGCTTTTATGCTCAAACATAATGTCTGAAGTAATTATTTCCCTTTAACCACTGATAAATTTTTTTAAGAATTTTTACTCTCATGTGTGTGTTGCCATTAAACTTAAGAGCTTCATAAATAACCACGTGGGACAGGTGGTAATGGGGGCCACTTACCCTGACAAAAACACATGTTTTGCACTCCACTAGTGTATGGTTGTGCCACCCAACTTCTTGCTAATAGGACCATTAAAAGAGACTAGAGATCATCACATTCACACTCACACACGTACTGTACATATTGGAATACCTTTGGGCAGAGACTGCCTTCACTCAGTCAGAGAGGGGCATGTTGGGTAAACCACCCCACCTGGTGACCATACAGGTCATAACAAGACTCCTCATGTTACTGATTCTACTACTTTATTAATTTTATCATATGTACTTTAATTGATTTTTTCTATTTTGTTGTTTTAAATACACTTAAGTGCACTTTGTTGCCTGACTAGGGGCGACTGTGGTTCGGTGGGTATAGCAGTCGTCTCCCAACTAGAGGGTCGGCGGTTTGAATCTCTGTACCTGCAGTCCACATGTCGAAGTGTCCTTGGGCCAGACACTGAACCCCCAAGTTGCCCCTGATGGTTAGAGCCATCGGTTGAGTTGGTGCCGCAGATGGCTGCCTCGGCTCTGTACCGGAAACAAATTCCTTGTGTGTAACATACTTGGCCAATAAAGGTGATTATCCTTAATGCAAAGCCTTTTAAATGGCTTTGCCTTTATATGATTAACAGCCAGCAGCTCATATAAGATACAGTACTATGATACATGTGATAAAATATGAATTAACAGATTGTAGTTTTTCTGAAAGTTTAAAGAAAATGTCAGACACAGCACACACAGTATGCAGCTCTGAGGGTGCCTTAAGAGTGAGTCCAGCCACCTGTCAAAGGAAATACTATACATTTTAGCTGCAAACTCATTATTTTAGACACTACCATATATGGGGGTTGAAACATGGAGCTTCACCTTCAAGTTTACCTTAGTATGAACCTTTAATCTATAATATGATACAGTTGTGTCCAAACATCAGACTTCTCAGGTTTCATCTGCTCCACCCTGATTTCTTCTGGATTGTCTGACTCTAAGAAAGTGATAATATGGTGGCAACCATTTACACACATACTGTACAATCTGCAATGGGAAAGCTCCTCCATGCAGCATGGGAGGTGAGGATGAATACTGTCACTGATGAATAGACAGCGAATTGTTTTACGTTTCAGCACCATATGGTCACAAAGACAGATAAATGATGGGGCTACTAAGGTAAACCGATTAGAACAGTTAAACACAATGTGTGTTGGTGCATCCGGTGTCTTAATCACTTGTCCTGGTCCTCATTCTCTGTCAGGATCAATACCATGGTTGCAACACTGTACACAAACTACAATCAATCTCTCGTCTCTCTCTTTCTCCCACACACACACACACACACTTGTACTTCTATCTTTGTCAGGACATGTACCAACATATTGCATTCCCTAGCCCCTAACCTGAACCCTAAAACCAAGTCTTAACCCTCAAAAAGGTGCTTCACAAAGTGAGCACTGGCAAAAATGTCCTCACTCTGTAGCAAAAAAATGTTTTTGGTCCTCACTATATAGCAAGTACAAGAACACACCCACCTCCCCACACACACACACCTGGTAATTTTTCAAAAATACAAGGATACAAGGTCAGGGAACACAAACTGCTAAACAGATGTCAGCGGTGTAAATGTATCAGTGCAGTAACAAAATGATTGCGCTAAAGTTAGTTTCTATTTCATTGCTACCTGGAATTTAAAGGACAAATCAGATTTGTTTATAATTTGGGTTATCTTGATGACAAAAGTGTTATGATAACAAATAGAAATGATGGACAAAATTATAAAAATATTCCCAAAGTTGCAATAAAGTGAAATTTATAATTTTATTAAAATTAAAAACATATGCTGCTGAAAAAAAAATCTACTCAGCATAGTGAAAGCTCAGTGATTTCTAAAAGAAATCCTGCCCACCTTGTTTTTCTCAAACAGCTCGCACTGGATGGCTTTGAGGTCAGTGTCAAGAGCGGAGGCGGCTTGACGGCGTTTCTTGGCCAGCTGCTCCTCCAAATCCTCAGCCTGAGCCCTCAGCTTCTTATTGTCCCTCTCCAGGGCCAATTTCTCTGTCTCCAAATGCTCCCTACGTCCCCACTCTGCAGCATTCTCCACCTGCAGCCTCTCCATCTGACGGAGATACACAGAGAGCGGAGAGAAAGACAGGCTAAAGACACTATAATTATGGTGGCAAGTATTACAGGTTTATCAATCAGTGCTGGTAACAAAGGCTCCCTCAACCTCTTGGTGTTGCTCAGTGATGACCAGTACAGGACAATTCCTAGTGTAAAATTTTGCACTGAAAACTGCACTGAAAGGCATCTTAATACTAAATGCTGCATGGAGGCAAACTATTGCTGCATTGACCTCTGATATTGGACGTGGTCAGTATTCAATCAGACTTGACTGTCAACTCAGATCCAATATTTGACCAGACCAACTACTCAGGTAGCTGACTATCAAAACCACCACTCTGAACTCTGGGCAACTGAGGAATACTCATGACATGATTTTGGCCAATATCATTAGATCAACAGTAGTTACTGTGTAAAAAGCTAATGTCAGGTTATAGTTACAGATGTGTTGCCAAAGGCAAAGTCTTACAAAATCATCAGGGAAAGATGGGAAACAATGAGCAGCGAAAGGTGTTCAGCTGCCTCAGTCTGGAAATGTGTTTTGTAGTTGCTGCTGTTAAGCCTAACAGAATGCACCGTGGATTAAATAATGTACGCATGACACAAAATATGACAAAGGGGAGCAGACCAGACAACAGAATAGACATATACCTGGATTTCTCTGTCATGTCAACAACCTTCCAGTTTTTATTCCACCATGCTGCTGGCAACTACTCCTACACATTTTCTCTGCTTCCCTCTCTCCTCACCTCAGCTCGTAGTTCAGCTAGTTTTTTGTCCATACTGGTTCGGGCACCCAGTTCATCCTCCAGATCTTCAGACATGCGGCCAAGTTCATCCTGATGCATTTCCTTGAGCAGGTTCAGCTAGATGATGTATGGAAGAGGAGGAAGAAGAAAAAAGGTCAATGTCTCGATGTTGTGTCTTGTTTTTTATTGTTTGAGGTTTGCAGGACCACTGAAATCCAGCAGCATCAAACTGTTATTCTCTAAATTCCCCTTCCTTCCACCTACTCTATTTTTACACTCCACAAAAACAGCTGAGAATGAGTGCTGAAGTAAAGGTATGATGATTCATGCTAATGAATCTTTACTGGCCAAGTATTTTATACACAAAGAATTTGTCTCCAGTGCAGAACCAAGTCAGCCATCTGTGGTGACAACTCACACACACTGAGAGTGGCGCTGTCCCTGCAGGGGACAACCACTCTACCCCATAAGCCACAGCCGCCCCAGTCATGTATATTCTGTGCCTGCATGGGAGAAATAATTCCCCCAATCAGCAGGTATCTGGATTCTCCATTCATAAAGGGAAAGAAGAAGAGCTAGATGGGATCGACAAGCTGTAAACAAAGTAGTTCTCATTCAACACAGCTGCTGTTTACAGCTGCTTCTAATCAAGAATATGTCTGATAAGAAGCTGCAAATGACATTGCTGTTCTCTGTCCTTGGTCTTTTGAATGTGGAACAAGAAAGGAGGTCATGGGGATGAAAAATGAGGAGAAACTGCACTAATTGGGTGAAATCATGGATACTACAATGACAGGCTGAAGCAGCTTTCCTGAACTGTTCTCTCCTTGTGCATCGATTCAATGGGCAGAACAGCAGAAGTTACTGGTTCAGCTTCACCCACTATCAAGGTGCACAAACACAGAAAAAATTAACTGGAAAGCAAAATGTCTTGCAATGTTCCAAGCAGCTTTAATGCAAGGATAACGCATTTTGGCATAAAGACCCTGATGAAGGGTATTTTATTTTTGCATTAAAGTTGCTCGAACACTGCAACTGTCACCAGACATTTTGCTTTCTTGCTAAGCTGAACAGCCAATCAAAATAATCTCTCTTACCGAGGAGGTAATTCAATATGTCGAAAAGCCGCCAGCAGGGCACGACTACTGCCAACTGTGTGAGACACATTGGGAAGACAAGCCCCGACAGATGCTCCCCGACAGTGGCCAGCCATTGGCTTGGTGTGTCATGGCCCCTAATGAGGCGTTTAATTGTATTTCTTTTATGTAATATGTAATTATCATCTGTTTGAGGCTGGTGTATTAAAGTTAGCATGAATGTGCATGACTGTTGTCTTTATATTTATTCTGATAATGCGGTGGGTCTTGTTGACCACTAGTAGAGTTTGGGAAGACCTTTTTGGCCACTTCAAGGAAGCAGCAACCAGGTGCTGCATCATCTGCCATTTTATCATCTTATAAAGCTGTTGTTTGTGACACATCAAGTATCAAGTTTGTACCCACCTCATCAATGTAATGATCCAGTCTCTACTCTCTTTTAACTCTGTATTTAGTCTCTACAGCTAGTCTCTAACTCTGGCTGCCTGAACAGATAGTGTACAGTGGCTTTTTCACTGAAAACCGCTGCTTGCTGCAGCTGGACACATCGTCGATGACAGAGCTGAGACTGAACCAAGACTGATACGGTTGCATTTCCATCATCTGAATAAGTAATATAGTGATTCTTTCTTGCATCTAAAGAGAGCCTTTTTTATGTGTTATGGAACTTTGGCTACATGCACTTTAATGCAAAATTCCTAGCGTTACTGTTTAGTACCAATGTTATTCTGTCAAGAGACAGGACAACATAAGTGTTCATTATACTTTGGTAGGAAACTGGAACACAAATTCATAGTACTTCCATCATGTAACATTTCTACAGCAGCTATCCTCCAAACATTTGCTTGATATTTATTGTTATCTTGTCTGTGTGCAGACAATATGGCGCCAATCAGGGCTGCCTCAGACGTGTGCTCCCGTGTGATTTTGTGTTTTTTGTTGTTGTTCATGTCAGTTTTCTGTAATCCTGTCCGGATTACTTTTATGAGGGATGAACTTTTGAATATCCGCCAGCTCAGTCTGGACATTTTCTCCTTTGAACGTTTTAGCTGGCAGAGCAGCAGCTGTTATTTGGAAGTGGAGGAGACGCCGAAAGGGGAGAAGGGCTGGCGCCCTCGTAAGGTTACGATGGCGGGCATACTGAACACCATTCCCAGAAATACATTTAGCTAATCTCTGCTCCCTTGTTAAAAAAATGGATGAACTGCTGCTCGTCAATAGGAATAACTCGGACTTTTCACATTCTGCGGCATTATGCTTTGTGGAAACGTGGCTCAGTGACTCATTCCCTGATGAGGCTGTTCAGCTGCTGGGATTTCAGACTTCATCATCAGGAAACCGAATGACTACAAACCTGTCGCCCTGACATCTGTAGTCATGAAGTGTTTTGAGAGACTGGTATTGGCCCACCTGAAAGCAATCACAAACCTCGGCTGGATTCCCTGCAGTTTGTTTAACGAACAAACAGGTCAGTGGATGATGCAGTCAATATGGCACTGCACTACACTCTGCAACACCTTGACTCACCAGGGACCTATGCTCGGATCTTATTTGTTGACTTCAGTTCAGCATTTAACACCATTATCCCAGACATCCTCCACTCCAAACTCACCAAGCTCACTGTGCCTGCCCCCACCTGTCAGTAGATCACCAACTTTCTGACAGACAGGAAGCAGCAGGTATGGCTGGGGAAAACAGCATCCAGCATCTGGACGATCAGCACAGGCGCCCCCCAGGGGTGTGTGCTCTCCCCGCTGTTGTTCTCCCTCTATACTAATGACTGCACCTCAGGAGATCCTTCTGTAAAAATCATGAAGATTGCCGACGACAAACAGTCACCAGCCTCATTCACGATGGTGACGAGTCAGCCTACAGACAGGAGGTTGAACAGCTGGCCCTGTGGTGTGGTCATAACAACCTGGAACTGAACACACGGAAGACAGTGGAGATGATAGTGGATTTTAAGAGGAACTCCTCCATCCTATCTTTGCTCACCATATTCACCAGCAGTGTTTCAGTCATGGAGTCCTACAAATTCCTGGGCTCCACAATGTCTCCGGACTTGAGGTGGACAACCAACATCAGTGCTATTATTAAAAAGGCGCGGCAGAGGATGTACTTCCTACGTCAGCTCAGGAAGTTCAACCTGCCTCAGGAGCTGCTGATTCAATTCTACAGAGGAATCATCAAGTCTGTTCTCTGCACTTCCATCTCTCTCTGGTTTGGCTCGGCAGCCAAACAGGACAGAAACAGACTCCAGCGGACATTCAGAACTGCAGAGAAAATCACCGGTACCAGCCTGGCCTCCATGGAGGATCTGTACACCTCACAGGTCAGAAAGAGGGCAGAGAGGATTTCTGCAGACCCCTCTCACCCTGGATATAAACTCTTTGAACTCCTCCCCTCTGGACGGTGCTACAGGTCACTGTACGGCAATACATCCAGACACAGAGGTAGTTCCCCGGGCTATTACAATGATGAACAGCTAGTATGTTGCTCTTCTAACTTGTGATTTTTTAGCTTGTATATATTGAGCATTTATTTTGTTATGTTGTGCACATTGGGGGCCATTGAGCTGGAGTCAAATTCCTTGTGTTCTTGAAATACTTGGCAATAAAGTTATGCTTATGCTTAAATTTATCAGCGAAGACGTCCCCTTGTCCTTTCTCCTTAGGTGGTGGCCATTTCTGCCATCTCCTGTGATCTTGAAGTATCTGAGACAACAAGCTTGTAGATAAGAATGACCCAGTCTTCTTAAGCATGCCTTTTCATCCCTCTTTGTTCTTATCTGATCATTGAATCTCTGCCTGTCTTATCCGCCTCCTTTCCACCTTCAGCCCTTTGTCCTGTCCTGCTTTCATCTTCATCCGTTCTGCCCTGCTTATCTTCAAAACACCCATCATCACCGTCTACACATCACTCACAATGCTCACCCACCCCCTTTTATCTTTGCCTTTGTTCACGTTATCGCAATGATTTTGTCACTCAGACCTGTGTTGGCTTTGTCCTTGTCCTCACAGCTTTCTCTCTTCTCTGCAGGCCTGCAATGCCACCAAGTGGTGTCACACTGCCATAACATAAACTGTATTTCAGTTCAGAGGGCTTGTGTCTAAGCTCTACACTCTATGGCTGCCGTTTCATCCAAGGAACTCAGCTGTGTACTGAGATGTTTTGAGGATTTATGATGAGCTTCTCTTCAGAAATCCATCTATGAAAGACACAAGTAAAGAAGACAAGGAGAAGGTAGAGGAGGTATTTCTGTGAACGTGAGTAAAATTAAACACTGTCAAAGCAACAGTTTAATACAATACCACAGAACTACAGGTGTACTGTATAGTGCTATCCCACTGTATCTTCCTACAAGCCACTGTACTCTGTTGTAGTCATGTTACTGTTCTCTACTCTTTGATAAACTGAGCAGCCTCTCCTTTTGTCTACGGAATTTAAAAGTAGTTCAATTAAAATCCTTTTTCCATGAACAACAGTGTTTCAGATATGTGATTCACATCAGAAAGGTAACCAGTGCAGAGTTCCTCCACGGTTGGTGTCTAACTCTGTTGTGGAGCTGGGGTGGGTGTAGAGTCATGTGACCAATAGGTTTTGTGTCACTAACTACTCCTTACCTGCCAGGAGGCTTGAAGCTCCAATCACTAAAAATGCAAAAAGATCCCTCACTGGCTTCCTGTCACGAAAACAGCTGGTGTGTTGGAACTTGTGACCTATCCAAAGGTGCAACTGAAGAACTGAACTAATGTCTCTCTGCTTGTCTTCACTTAAAGCAGCAGTCTGCTGTCATTGTAGAAACAGTAAATGAAATCTCCTCTCTGTTGTTTATTTGTTCATGCTATTTAACTGCCATCACAATTTGGTGGAAACTCTACATCAGAATTCTTATTTCGTGCCACAACAGAATCACAGAAACAGACTATGGATTGCATTCACATGGAGCTTATCTAGTTGAAGTAATTCAGCAAGTCACCGATTTTCATGTGTAATGGATTATGCCAATATGTTGTTTCACTCCATGTAGACTAATTGTAGATGTGATCATTTCAAATAATGAGGTACCCTGTTATTTCTGCAGAAGCAAGCCAAATGTTTCAAGCTGATAAGCCAGGAGCACTTTGTTTCCCAAAGGATGAAGCCGGAGGTAGACATAAAAACTCAAGGTTCAAGATTACGCACTGGGTAAAGTTATTATTTTCATTTATGCCTCCCCTCCTTTGAGCAAGTA